AGTAGGGCGCACGGTCCCCGCGCCGGGAGGCCCGCAGCTGGGAGGAAGGCGCGCCACGCGGGAGAGGACTACACTAGGAGACAGTAATCCCCTGCGAGAGGAGCTGGGTGTCCTGAGCAGGGTGCGCAAGAGGAACGTGGGCAAGGCTTTACTGTGCAAGAAAAGAGTAACACTGTGTTAAATCCAGGCTTCTCCCCCAATACCTTTTGAACTTTGTACCATGTAAATATATTGCCTTTTCAAACCAAAACCAGACCCAAACAACGCTTTAATAAAAACATTCTGGATGAAAACATACTCAAGTTATCTCGTAGGCTCGGGACTACATTGTTCCTGTTTCATTTCAACACTGGCGGGCGCTGGTCGGGTCTCCACTGTCAAGCCGGTCCAGTCTAGTGCGGCTGGATGTGAAATGACGATTGGCGGAGCGTGTCAAGTGTTGAAGAGGTTCTCGGGACAGGACCCTCTTCGGACGGGAGATCGAGTAAGTGGCGAACCCAAAGACGGGAGATCGAGTAAGTGGCGGTGGCTGTGAAGCAGAGGATAGAGCCGGAGTTGCTGGCACAACAGCGCAGTCCCAAGGGAAGAGGAGCTGACCGGTGGAAGGGAGGACATCTCGGCCAAGAAACAACTTAAAGGCCTGGGTCAGGATGGGCAATGTATCCTGGGTAAGATAAAAGAGCCACAGGTGTAACCTTGAAAACTGCAACCAAGAGGAGGTAGGCAGAAAGGGAGCTAGACAGTGAGAGAAGGGGGAGGCACAGGGAAGAGTAGAGGCCCCAGCCAGCAAGGGGAGCATTTGAAGGACAGTGCAACAGTCTGCAGAGGCCAAGAGGAAAATGCCCTCGGGACTGGGTAGCTGGGAGGTCTCTGTTACCCAGGCGGGTCTCTGCATAAGACGGGTGGGGGCAGGAACTGCGCTTCTTGGAGGCAGAGGAAGCATTGGAGCTTAAAGGGTGCAGTTTTCTGACTGGGGGATTATTTGAACATGTTAATATGTCAAGGAGCCACCAGGGAGGACACAAAGGGGTCCTGTGGATGGAGGAATGGCAACAAGATTTCTTGGAGGCCAGTGAAAAGAAGACCAAGGGACGCAGGCCAGGAGGCCAGAGGCTCTGTGGCTGAGCAGGTTCCTGATCTCAACTGGCCAATGCTCGGTGAGCCTGTGAAGAAACTGGAGAGGCCCAAAGGGAGGCTGAAGTGAGCTTTCCTCAGGGCAGAAAGGACATGTCCGAATCCTCCCCTGCAGAAGGCAAGCCTCTTCAAGCCAGTGTCACTGTACCCTTGTGACTTTTTCACATAGTTTCCTAACTTCTCAGTTATTTATCAAGAGACAAATGCTTTCAAATGTATTTTCCTAAAATGTAAACCTGGTAAATATTTCTTGGGTTGCCCGTGCTTTTGTGCTATTTAGTATTAGGCCGCTTATTCTGCATTTTTTTCTCCACTGTCCCCTTGCTCCGGAGTTCCATTAACCCAACGCTTTCTACTGGGCGAGGTACTCTTATTTCACAGGTGTATAGCTTAGGTTACTCAGTGCCATAGAAGAAATATTGGGCATATTCCTGGAGCATAATTTTTACACCAAGATTATTCAGAAAGGTATCTTAAGATAAAAAATAGAGTGTATGTAAACATTTTAAATATTTGATGTTTTTGAGATGGCTTGTATAGGTGTCCTGTCTCTTCCAGGATAACGGGTTCCATATAGCTTCACCCGTGGGAGACCTGGACACCCTTTTGCTTGTTGGAACATCATCTATCCAACCTCTTTTCCTCTTTCCTTATCCAGCTCAGTGTAGGTCTTAGGACCAGTCTTTGAATAAGTCTGTCTCCTTCCTTCTAATCTTTCCCCTTCCAGTCCCATTCTCTACATGATGCTCTTACTTTTATAGGAGTGTGAATCTAATTATGTCATTCTCTTTAAAAATGTCAAACAACCCACAACCACTTGTGTAATTTCCACCTATTTCTTTTTTTTTTTTACACGATAGAAGTTTATTAAGCAAGGATACAGAAAAAGCTCTCAGGAGTGAGAGGGGTCCTGACAGGGTTGCCCTCCGCCTATTTCTTTACCTGAGCTCCACTCGTGTTCAAAATGTCCCAGCAAAAACAAAACAAAACAAAAAAACCCAAAATGTCCCAGCAGTCCTCATCAGCTTACAGAAGCCCTTGGTTATGCTCCTTTCTCTCATACTTTCAGGATTTTACACTCTTCCCTCTGCCTGGAATGCCCTTTCCACAACCCTCATCTACTAGCCTGGAGACTGTTCCTTTAAGATTCAGTTCTAGCACTATGTATGTAGTCTCTTCCGGGGAAGTTATCCTAATTTCTTCCCCATCCATATGCTTCTGTTTGCTATGAAGGAAACCATGCATACCTCACTCACTAGATTATGAGCCTTCAGTGGGTGGGTAGTGCTTGCAGTTACTGTTGAAACCCTGTGCTTACACAATACACATATTAGTTGAGGTTGAAACATGCTCCAGGTTTCTTTCTAGGAGCCAGGAAACTGAAATATGTAACTCAGTGTGTATTCAGGTCAAAATCTAGGTTCATAGTTTATTAATAAGCAGCAACAAAACTGAAACTCTCCAACTCAAATGCACAGTGTGAGAAGCTCTAAAACTTCATCAATGTATCGGATTTTATGAATTCAGTCCTATCTAATCTATGCTAGCATACAGGATACAAGAAAAGTGATTTTCAAGTTTTATTTTCTATGTGTCAACATTCATAATACAGACTTTAATCTGATAAAGTCTGACCCCAATCAGACGGTTGATTATTTTGATTTGTAACTGGTTAAATCAGAGAAAAAAATTTAATTTCGAATATATGCCACCAAAAATAAATATTCACTTAATGCAGTCTTATCTGTTTTATATCAAAAGATTTTTCCTCCCCAAATAAAGATTCTAAAATAAATTCAAGATTCCTTTGAATGAAAAAAAAAATACACCTTCTAAAACAGCCTACAAAACAATGCAGGGGATTGCTAGGCACACTTACTGTAAGAGGAAAGTATGTTCAATGAAAAGGAAATTGAAAACATGACCTTAAACTTTTATGAGCATTTAACAAGGCCTTTACTTCATTTACTTTTAGCTATTCCATAAATACTGGAAGAGAAATTGGACACTTTGTAATGAAACTTAGAAAAATTTCCTTTTTCCATAAAGCAAACTTATAAATCTTTCCCTTTGGCTCCTTCTTCCAATCCTCCATCACTGTGCTGAAGAGCTATTGAGTTCTTCCAGATTTTTGGTTAGGCAGGTGGTTTCCAAGCTGACTGGGCTTTCCAGGTAGGTAGTTCCTGCACAGGGTTTTCCAGTCACTGGATCTATAACTTGTCCAACTTTGAAAATGATCTCGGCCAGTTCATGTTTCACGTGCTTTGTTCGTGGAACAGGTAGAGCTTTCAGAAGCACAATATCCCCAACTGTGCACTGCTGAAGAGCATCGTGAGCAAAGTAGGTTTTACGCTTATTAAAATACTGTTGAAAGAAGAAGGAACAAATCAGTAGTTCCCATCTGTGATCTGACAATACAGTATAGAATATGAAAGAGTAATGCACAGAAAACAAGCTGGGACTTGGGGAAAAAAGATAATATACTTAGGAGGCTTCTAATACAAAAATTAGCTGCTTAATTTCTGGAAAACAGTATATTCTAGAGTGGATCATGTCCCTGAGCTCTCCAGCCCATTACCTTCAGTATCCTTGTCTATCAATCATCATCCTTCTTTACCCTTATTTAAACTCTTCCTTCCTAGTGGAGCCTTCTCTCCAGCCTATAAACATGCTACTTTCATTTCTAGTTGTATGATTTGGAACAAGTCACTTCATCATTCCAAGCGCAGTTTTCTTCCCCCCAATATAAAATGAGGCTCCAATATCTGCATCTCTAAAGTTAACCAGAAAATCAAATGTTGTAATATACATAAAACACTTAGCTCCATGGGTGGCTCGAAGTACCGCAAACAAGCCACAGATGGTCATAAACAACCTTGCTACAGAAGGTACTCTCATTCTACATATGAGAAAACAGGCTCTGGAGTAAGGTAATGGGCACAGCTAGTAAACAACAGTCAATATTCAAGCTAAGGTCTTCTGACTCTCAGGCCAATGATCATGCTGTCACTCTTCAGCTTGCTCCTGTGTTGTTAATAAAAGACCACTTTATTTTTTATTATTTATACTTTAAATTTTTTATTGTTATGTTAATCACCATACATCATTAGTTTTTGATGTAGTGTTCCATGATTCATTGTTTGTGCATAACACCCAGTGCTCCACGCAGAATGTGCCCTCTTTAATACCCATCACCAGGCTAACCCATCCCCCCACCCCCCTCCCCTCTAGAACCCTCAGTTTGTTTTTCAGAGTCCATCATCTCTCGTGGTTCGTCTCCCCCTCCGATTTACTCCCCTTCTTTCTTCCCCTCCTGTTACCTTTTTTTTTCTTAACATATATTGCATTATTTGTTTCAGAGGTACAGATCTGTGATTCAAGAGTCTTGCACAATTCACAGCGCTCACCATAGCACATACCCTCCCCAATAAGACCACTTTATTTTGCTCCTTAACCCACCTGGTGCCCCCTTCCCTCAACTTTGTCACCTCTGGGGGCGCCTGGGTGGCTCAGTCGGTTAAGTGTCTGCTTTTGACTCAGATCATGATCCAGAGTGAGTCCCGCTTTGGGCTCCCTGCTCAGCGGGGAGCCTGCTTTTCTCTGCCCCTCCCCCTGCTTGGGCTCCCCCTCTCTCAAAAATAAATAAAATCTTTAAAAAAACAAACAAAAAAAAACAAAAAACCCTGTCACCTCTGTTCCTGTGTTTTTGATCCTAGATAGCAAAGAGCATTTCTACCTTCCTGTGTGCCCAACCTTGAACGCAGAGCCATCCCTGGCACTTTACTCTTCCTTCCTTGCACATCTAACAAATCAAGAACTCTGATTCTTCTTTCTGAAATCTACTTTTCCCACTCCATTCCCATTGCTCCAAGGACTATTCAGGTCCTTATATCCAGTTCTAGATTTCTGCAATAGCCTTCTAACCCACTTCCTTACCTCCAGTTCTCATCCTATGTCTCCAAGTCTGTCTTCCTTTGCTTATAGGATTAAATCCAAAAATACCACATCCAAGACCACTCTCACTGCAGCTCCCAGTGTTCTTGCATTCACTCAGCAACAGTCAATGCCTACTTAGGGTCAAGCTCTGGGCTCGACCTTGCCAAACCACTTGTTCCTGCACAGTGTCATGCCCTTTAATGGCTAAAAGAGCTTCCATAAACCACTCATCATGGCCAGAATGACTCCCCCAAACCCGTCCTTTGGATAAAAGCCTTTTTGAGATTCAGCCCAAATGTGTCTTAACTGAGGATGCTCTCCTTCAGCCACGTGGGAAGAAACAGGTATCCTGCTCTCTGCTCCCAGTACTTTGCACATAGAATGACTATAGCAGTTATCAGACTGAGTTGAAATTAACTCTATGTGTCCCCAGAATTTGAGAATGAACCATGATCAATTCACTTTGTTATACCCACAGATCAGAGCAGTGTCTGGTTCACAGCAGATGCTCAGTGCATCTGTACTGACAGGGAACTGTTTCTCTGCTTAGAACCCATAATATGCTGTGATTTATCAATGCCATCTGAAAAAGGGACATTCCTCACCTTTAATAAATAGGGATCCAAAACAAGCCTGGTCACTCTCACTTTAGCTGTTTTTTGCATTGCTGTTCCAATCACCTTTCCCACGATCCATTTGGCATGGACGGATGAACGAACTACTGACATTATGTGGCTTTGGTCACCTGAAAAACAAATTTCAAAGTGTAATATGCTGCTGAATTTTGTTACTAGACCTGCTGAAGTTCAGAAACAGTTTTTGTTGGCCTTCCGGAATCACTTTAGAGATGCTTATACGTTTCACTATTTCCCCTAACCCAACCTTTCACCTTCATACTGTTTACAGAGCTGTCATTTTAATCTAAGCCTCTATTTCCCCCTGTGCAAAACGGGAATAAGAACAGGATCTACTCACAGGAGTGCTTTGAGGGTTTAACCTAGAAGGCGCTCAATAGCGCTAATAAACGTGGGTCTTTACTGGTGTCCCTTACTTCTTTCCTTCCGCTGGGCGAGCCTGTCCCTGCAGGCTCCAGCCCCGCTACTCGCGCGCTCACGGCCTAGGCGGAACGCCCGGGGGAGTCCTCCTCACTGGAGGACACCTTCACTTAGGACTGCTTTCTTGATCAGTCAATGCTGAGTCCATCCGGCCGCACCTGGGGTAGGATGGGATCACTGACTCTCCCGCCCCGCACTACCCTGGGATCAGGCCACTCGCCTCGCCTCCAGGTTCTCACGGGGGGGTCGTCTCGCTCCTCCGAATTCACCCCCGCAACTGCAGGGCTTGACCCGCGCTCACCTTCCGGCTCTGTTTTCCCGGCGCGCGCAGTCCGGATGGGCGGCCGGAGCGTGGTGACGCCACGTCCTTACAAGGCGCTCCGCCCAGGACGGCTCCTCTCATTGGCCGCGTGTCCATGGGCGGGGCGTGGGGTTGGGTGGGTGGGTGGGTAAAGGCATGACTCCGCCCACTCCCCCTTAAAGGGAACCGCCGACCGTGGGTAAACGGGAGACTTGTACCTGCCCTTTCTCCACGCGCGGAGCCCCTGCAGCGTGGAGGATTCCGGCCTTTCATTTAACTATTCCATTCGGTTTCCTTTTCTTCCGCCGAGCTCCCAGGCTTGGACAAGGCCTTCCAAATCAGAGGAACCTCATTCATTGATCAAACACGGAAACATCGGACACTGCTAAATGATGAGACTTAAGCATTCTACCCCCACAGCTCCTTTAAAGATAACTTCTGTAGGTTTTTGTGCCCAATTTGATTTTAGGTGTTATTTCTCAATAATTACGAGACGGAGAGAAGTCCAGCGTTGGCACATATTTATGTGTGACAGTTATGAAGGAGTTCGATGGGCCATGAGCAGGCTGCTCGATGGCGCCTTCTTAGATAGAGGGAGGACTGGGAATGTATTAGGAAATCGAGAGAAACAGAAAACAATAGGCTACTGGCACAGACAATTTGAGGGCCCAAATACAGGTATAGTGCATTGTCTTTAACCATTGAAACATCTTAGCAACTGGTGAGGGAAGACTGGGAAAATAAGAATTCTCCCACACAGTCTGTCCAACACTCCTTTCTTTCTTAGCAAACAGGTATAGAACACTAATTAGACTCTGTGCTAGGCAAAAAGATGAATCAAAGGAGACTCCCTCTCTCAAAAAGGCCACAGTCTAGTAGGGACAGGTGTAAAGAAATAAGTGTAAAACAACTGTAGGTAATGGGAACCTTGAGAAAGGAATGCATAATTTTGCGGAGAGAGGAGACTTGATCAATACATAGCCCTTGACCAGGGGCTATGTAGCTTGAGAGGAGAGGGAGGTGGGATGTGGGAAGGGCATTTGAGGCAGAAAGGAGAGCATGTGCAGGGGTGCTGGGTTGTGAGAGACAGTATGATGAGCAGGAGGCTGATACTGCCAGGATATACGGTCAGGAAAAGAATGGCAGGGATCTAAGTTGGTCAGAGATAGGCCTCTACCTAAGAAACATTTCTTGTTAAGGGCCTGCCCTCACTTTTTGTTCTAAATGATGAGAAGCCTTTGAGAGATATGAACAGTTTTGCTAGCCTTCAACATCATTGTGGTAGGAGTGTGGAGGAGAGAACAGAGGTTGGAGAGATTTGAGGCTAGATGCATTGTCAGGGGATGGTGAAAACCTAAACTGGAGCAGCGGGAATGAAAGAAAGAAAGTGGGTTGGAGAAGTGATTGGGAAATTGGCCATGTGAGGCAAGGGGACAGAGAGGTGGTAAGAGTGTGTGTAAGTATGGCATAAACAACAGAAATTTATTTTCTCATGGTTCTGGAGACTAGAAGACTGAGATCAAGGAGCTGTCAGGGTCAGTTTCTGGTGAGGGCTCTTTTCCTGGCTTACAGATGATCACTTTCTTGCTATGTCCTCATGTGGCCTTTCCTCTGTCTATGCGTGCACAGGGAGAGAGAGGGCAGACAGACTGGTGTCTTCTTTTTCTTTTACAATAACTCTAATCTTATTGGATTTGGCCCCACCCTTATGACCTCATTTATTTATTTATTTTAATTTTTAAAAATATTTAATTTATTTATTTGACAGAGAGAGAGCACACACAAGCTGGGGGAGCGGAAAAGGCAGGCTCCCCACTGAGCAGGGAGGCTGATGTGGGCTTCGATGAGAGGACCCTGGGATCATGACCTGGACTGAAGGCAGACACTTAACCAACTGAGCCACCCAGGTGCCCCTGACCTCATTTAATCTTAAATACCTTCTAAAGGTCTTGTCTTCAAATACCATCACATCAGGGGTTAGGGCTTCAATATACATATGAATTTTGTCGGGGGGAACACAATTCAGTCCATAACAATAAAATCAAAGAAGCAAAGTAAAAGCCTTGCAATCTTAAAATCGATTTGGAAATACAGTATGAACTCATGATTTATTTTTCTCAAAAAAAGTTTTTCCTAGAAAGAGTTTCCTAAAGCAGCCTTTTAGAAGAGAGTAGGGGAAATGAAGTTTATTTCCTCAGGCAGGTGTACCAGTCTACTGGTATGCTACTGTTGAAGACTATGCATGTATCTTAACAGTCTGAAGTCTGGCTGGGCAAGACTTATATTGGGTCTTCTTGGACAAATTTAATCATATAAAGATTGTTTTCTTCTTGGGCGCCTGGGTGGCTCAATTGGTTAAGCGACTGCCTTCGGCTCAGGTCATGATCCTGGAGTCCCGGGATCGAGTCCCACATCGGGCTCCCTGCTCAGCAGGGAGTCTGCTTCTCCCTCTGACCCTCTTCCCTCTCGTGCTCTCTATGTCTCATTCTCTCTCTCTCAAATAAATAAATAAAATCTTTAAAAAAAAATTAAAAAAAAAAAAGAAAAAGATTGTTTTCTTCTTTCCTTTCTCAGCTCAGATCTGCCTGTATGGGGAGTGGCCATACTCCTTTTCCATTTTATTCTTTCCCAGTTCATCACTCCACTTGTCAGCTGCTCTTACATCATATCTACATATTGAAGAGGAAAATCTATCTCATACTCACTTTGGTATCTTTATATTTATTGTATTGGTTCCTCAGTCAAAACTGAGGCAGAGAGTCCCAGTCTAATATCCTGTTACACTAGCAAAACTCCAACTTGAGATAAAATAATCACTCACTATCTCCATGTTTACACATAAGCACCTGAACATAGCTGGTGGGAAAAACCTACACAGGTGGGCAGACTGATTTTGGTAAGTTTATCTCATAACCCTCTAATTCTGAGTATTGCCTCACAGTTCTTTTTTTTTTTTTTTTAAGATTTTATTTATTTATTTGACAGAGACAAAGCGAGAGAAGGAACACAAGCAGGGGGAGTGTGAGAAGGAGAAGCAGGCTTCCCACGGAGCAGGGAGCCCAATGTGGGGCTCTATCCCAGGACCCTGGGACCATGACCTGAGCCGAAGGCAGACACTTAACAACTGAGCCACCCAAGTGCCCCTTGCCTCACAGTTCTACTATGTTTCTGGCCAGTCTCTAAATCTGGCGATGCTCTAGGGCCTTGTCCCGAGTCCTCTTCTCTCCTAATACTCTTACTGTAGGTGACATCAACCCATTTCTATGCTGATGATTCTCAAATTAACTCATAACCTTAACATGTCCACAACTGAGCTCCTGTCCCTCAACTTCGTTCCACCTCCTTTTCTCAAAGGCATCACCATGCACTCAATTAGTCAGGCACATCTTGATTACACTCTCCTTCTCTCTTCTTTTATGAGTATTGTCGTTTCTACTTCCCAAATATTTATTGTCTATCTATTTCCCTCCATCTCCACTAATCCAAGCCACCATCATTTCTGACCTAGACAAATGCAATTGCTGTCCTTCAATTATTTGCTTCCATTCTTGCTTTTCTCTACATAGCGGTCAGAATAGGCACATTAGATCATGACATTTCCTTGTTTAAAAACCCTAACTCCGGGTGCCTGGGGGGCTCAGATGGTTAAGTGTCTGCTCAGGTCATGATCTCGGGGTCCTGGGATTGAGTCCCGTGTCAGGCTCCCTGCTCAGCGGGGAGTCTGCTTCTCCCTCTGGCCCTCCCCCTGCTTGTGCTCTGTCTCTCTCATGAATAAATAAAATCTTTAAAAAAATATAAAAACCCTAACTGCTTCCCATTGCACTTGAATAAATTTCAAGCTCCTTAATAGGGCCTACAAGGTTGTACCATTTAGGAGTGCTTTTGGTGAATGTCTGCCTATCAGTCAGTTAAACAAATAGAAGTTCTTAGGGGTGTGTCCCATCATGAAACAGGATGTCTAGAGGTTGGCAGTCCAGGGTTAGTGTGGGGCTCAACAATGTCATCAAGGAGTCATGTGCTTTCTATCTTTTATCTGCTATCCTCAGTGCTTTGGCTTGTTACCTCATGGCTGCAGGAGTAGAGTACCAGGAAGCACATTTAATATCATGGCATAAAGGAGCATCAGCCCATCCATTTTTTGTCTGGGAAGCAAAAACTTCTGCTTATGTCTGCTTCACCAGAACTATGCCACATGGCCACCTACTGAAGCCTCAGTTTAAAGACAGGCTGGGAAGATGTGTATACGGCATCTTTACCTCTGTGTTGGAAGCAGACAAATGAGAAAGGGGATTGGGAATGGAAGCTGGGTTAGGTATTGCAAAGTAGCTGCCATAAATGTCTTTTGTTTACTTCTCCAACTCAATTTACATTCATCGCCCTGTTAGCCACTATGCTCCAATTATACCGTCTCTTAGTTTCTTGCATAAGCCAAGTATAGTGAATCCTTTTATCCTCAGATTCTAGTCTTTCTTTACTACAGAGAAATTCCTTTTATCTTACCTTTCTTCTTTCTCTTCCTCCATTTTCCCCTTCCCTCCTTTATAGTTTCTCTTCTTTTCTTTGTAATTCTTTCTTTCTGGCAAGTCTTGAAGAATTTAGATTTTTAATAGGTTGAAAATGTATATATTTGTACCTTTTTAAGGCCTTGAAATGCACAGGAATTTTTCAGATGATTAATGTAATTTATAATTATTTTTTTAATCCCTGGCAAAAGTATTTTTTTTTACAGCTTTAGAACATGTCATTGTTTCTACCCCCCCTTAGATATCTATGTTCTATCTGGCATTTCCTTTTTAGACAATCCAGGATTATGTATGTTAAATTTTTTTGGCACAGTTATAAAACCTTTTCAGTATTTGAAAATCACTTCTGTATGTAGGTTTTCTTATCACATAGTTTTACAGATTTGATTTTATAATTATGTGATTCACGCATTTTATATTATATTAAGCCAGCCACACTCCATTTTCCATCATATCTCTGAAGTGGATGCTAATTGCTTCATATCTCTGAATCATCATTAGATTAAGTTGTACACA